CCCTGGTGCAGGTGTGCCGCAGCGGTCAGTGGAAGAATCCGCGAGTTTCTCTGTGAATTTCACATTACGTCGTTGCGCACTCGGTGCTTGCTCTGAAGTTTATGGGTTTTTTTCGCTGTAAAAGTAAGTTTTCTTCCCACGCAGTGAACAGCGGACGCTAATATTTTTGTCATTTTTTACGTAATCAAACTCAAAGTAAGGTCAGTACTTCCATGCTTTAAACGCTGCACGCTCATACTCTCTCCCGCACTCGATATATTATCCATTGTTGATCTGCACACAGCTGTTGCCACGAACGTTGCACTCGCTTACGTCATTGTCATGAGACACTCTCACACTGTTTTTGCAATAGTAATCCCTTACTTTACTCATTACTTGAAAAAGTAATCGGATTACCGTAGTTAATTCAGTTACAAGTAACGCGTTACTGCCCATCTCTGGTAGTCAGTAGTAATACAATCAGACCCAGATATTTTAAGATATTGCTGTATGTGTCTGCTAACGTTACAAAAAGAAAAAGAATAAAGCAAACTCTGCAAGTGTCAACTGATGTGATCCAACACAAAAAGGCAGACAGGCTTTTTTTCTGCACTGTGTCTTTATAAGGTAACAGATGGGGCTGATGGAAGTGGTGTTTAGATGTGTGAGTGTGTTTGTGGACAAGCAACATATACACAAGCTATCAGTTCTGTCAGATGGAAAGGGGATAAAAATAACGAATCTTGTTTGTACTGGAAAAAACAGGGATTGGCAGACACACACAAACACACACAACCTTGGACTTCCACTGGAGTCGCAGTCACTTCATTCTCTGCTTATCAGACATCTATTTACCCATCACACCTTTGATGCTCTCCTGTGATTTTTATCCAGCCATGTATTTTTCAGTCAACATCCTACACCTTTCAGCTTTTCCACTGATTGACAATCATTCCTTTAATCTAGTGTCCTCTTTCTGATTTCTTTCCCCTGTGAGGCCACACAAAATAAAGGTAACACTGACTTCACCTGCCAGAGGGGAGTTTTGCACAAAGCCTCATGTTCAAGCACACAGCGATCCATCAAGTAGAGAGTATGCAACAATATATCTGCTGCATTAATGATGGTATAACAATACGGCTACTCAGTGACACTAGATACATTTTGTGTGTATCACCATTATTATTCACTTTTAGTGTCAGTTATATTTATTAGCCATCTTTCATAGGCCACCGTTTTCCTGTCAAGAAACCCGCAAAACTGGATTTAGAAAACTTTTAAAACAATATTTATTTGGTCTGAATTTTTGATAACAGTTAGAAATTGTTAAGATGAGCCTGGATTGATCTTAAGGAGTTGTTTTTGTTGTTTGGATTTGTTTTAGGTTTTAGGGCGCACCGTCAAAATCTAAAAATGTGTGACCCCAGGAAGAACAGCTGCTGGACTGCTGCAGCTAATGGGGATCTTAATAAACTAAACTAAACTGCTCACCTTGTCCAACTAATCTGGTAAGTGCCTAGACTCCTGGAAGTCTAACGAGTGATAAAGCTATGCATGTAGCGCTGGTGTGTTGATAATTTTATCTATATTTCCATTGTGTATCCACCTCTAGTGCAGAATCAAACTACAAATGGAGAATGTC